TAAATAAATCCCTGATTGGCTCCGGGGAAGCAATGCACGTGTGGACTTACACAGTAGTTGGCAGCATGCAGGAGAGGGTAACACTGACGACCTTAGTTCAGAAGTCCACAGCACCTCCTTTTTCGTGGTTTGGCTTTTTCTCAATAGGCTAACAAAGTTTCATTGCCCTTTAAGCCAATGTAAGAGAAAACAAATGCCCGAACCATCTGCCTAGACATAGTCTGTTTCAGAACTCAGTTGTCTCTACAACTGGATCGGTGTTCACGTGTTCACATATTGAACGTTGGCGAACACACAGGTCTCACATCTGGTTCAGCCTTTTAACAGTCTCAATTGTCCAAAGGACCATAAGATTAGTGGATAAATGTTCCTTTTTGTGTATTCCATCGTATTTGTGGAAAATTGATATTATGTGATAAGACTCTGTTCCTGAGGGTAGAAAGTCTTCAGTTGTACTGATAACTAGCTTCTTTATCAGTTATGCTGATAACAAGGAAACCTGCACTGATTTCTTTGAACATTCCCCTTAAAATTTTTTACTTTCAATTATGGGGAAATAATCATTAATGGATGAAGATGAAGATCTGGTTTCACTGCTAAATGAGGTAACAAGGTTCCATGTCCTGTAGTATTTATACCATAGAAGGGACTGTCAACAACACATAAGCAATGAATCATAAGGTCCAAAGGGGACAAATATAAATGAACTAAACGGGGTGAAGTGCACGATGGCTGGGCAGTGTCATAGGTAGAGGGCTGGTTGATATTGGGTGTCGGTGAAGAAGGACCTCCTTATAGAGGTGATGTTTGAGCTGAGCCTGAGAGTCAGGAGAGGGCAGCCCTGAGAAATCATGGCTCAGAATGTTCCCAGGAAGGAACCAGCAAAGACAGCAGCCCTAAGACAGGAACAACAGAGTGTCCCAGGAGTGAAGAAACCGAGTGCCAGGAGATGATTCTGAGAGTGGACAGGGCCACCTTACAAAGGTTCCCAGCTGCCATCCCAGAGTTTGGACCTTCCTCTTGGTCTGTGGGGAGTCACTTCAGCCATTGGAGCATCTACGCTGAGTGCCTCATGTCCTGTGCTTCTTAGTCCCCTGGGTGTTTAATGGAGAACATTATAGGAGGTGAAGAATGAAACAGGAGACCAGATCAGAGGCTATCATGGTCACCACGCTGAAAATGCTGGTGGCTTTGATAGGGTGCTTATGGGGAAGATGAGCAGAAGCAGATCTATTTAGGGAATAGAACCTACAGATGTCTCGCATGGCTATGATGTTGGCAGTGAAATATCATTTTATTTGCATGCTCGAGAGCTTTTGGCTTGCATATCCTCTGTAGCTTGAGTAGATGACAGTCCTGTTCTCATTGAGATGAGAAATCCAGGAGTAGGAGGGGAAGAGTTTTGTTTTGACTGTACTGAGGTGTGAATTAAATACCCGTGTGGAATTGTAAGAAGGCAGTTGGAAATATATTTAATATTGTTATATTTAAGTTAGCCTATTTGTTTTGGACAAGTACCAGCTTTAGCCTAATAAACTTCAGACACTCATTTTATTTTTAACTGAACATTGCTTTTGCTATAGGCAACTCAATTTAATACTGGCAATTAAAACTGATAATGTTTGCCTCTTGCTGCTTGTGTCTTCCTTTCTATTCCTCTGAACTCCTTCATTAGATGACCAAGAAATCCCAAGGCAAGGAAACTTGGCATTGATTTCTTTGAACATTCCCCTTAAAAATTTCTATTTTCAGTTATAGGGAGAAAACCATATCATTGGACGAAAGTGAAGGAGATCTGGGTTTTTACTGGAATAGTTAGAGATATTACAGACTGTCCTTTCTACCCTCTGAAGCCACTTATATTCAATATATGTTTTGTCTTACTTATTTTTATCTTTTATTTTTTTAATATTTTTTAATGCCTTCATTTTTATTTATTTATATATGGTGCTGAGGATCGAACCCAGGGCTTTACACTTGGTAGGCGAGCGCTCTAACTCTGAGCCACAACCCCAGCCCTCTTACTTATTTTTAACTAGCTGTAAATGTGTTGGGACAGGGGAGGGTGTGAAGTGGGTATGTTAGTGCTCTTGATGAAAATTGTCTTGAACTTCTCTGCCAGAATAAACATTTAGGTCATTTATCTACCTACATGAACATAGTTTTGCAAGTTTCTTATCACAGGTTCTAATTCTAAAAGCATTTTAAAATTAAAAGGAGCATATCTAGTGTTATTGCACCTACTGTGAATCATACAGGTTCTGTTTATAAAAGAGGAGAGTAAACGGGTGTGGAGGGGAATAATGGCATAAACCAGTAATGGAGGTAGATAGGTTGTTATTACTTTGGGGCTCAATCTAAATAAAAGAGTTTCTTCTTTCTGGACTCCAATTACATACCTTGGTGCTGTTTGGAAAGAGTTGCCCAGCTTTTCTGTGCTGGGGAGGGAGGACTGTCTCTCATCTGCTAGAACCCAGGAACCATGATATCTCTTCCATAGAAAGAAACAGGTCAAGCCACTGTCCTGCTCTTGTGTCTCTCACTGCACCATGAGGCCCAGGGAGACAGCCACAGGCTGTCTGGGATTCTGGCGTGGGAGACCCAGCAAGCCAGGACAACTAATCAGCCCTCCTGAATGTGTTGTTTTTGGTGATATCCGCCAGGCATTGGAGTCTCTTATATTAGAAGTGTTGAAAGCTGCCATCTTGGTGATCACATTGATTCCCAAGGATGGCTTTCTGGAAGTAGTGGGGCAACAAGAGACTTTAACGTCCAGGGGAGAATGTTTCTGAATGGGAAAGAGAAAGGTGTTCCAGAGGTCAGAGGCAGCAAACCAAAAACTGTGAAGTCCAAAGTGAGACTACTGGATGAAATAGGGATCGATGACAAGTTCATGAACGAGTGTGGTAAGCCAGTGACTTCTGAAGTTACATTTGGCCAGACAAGCTTCATTTGTCTGTGGTCAGAGGATGCAGGAGACACTTGGCACCACTGCCTGTTGCTGGAATGACGGAGTCCCACCGAGCAGCACTGTGCTAGAAAAAGTGTAGGATCCAACAGGTCTCTGTCTGCTAATAATTTCCCTAGACATTCCTATTGCTGCACATCAGTGACTGCTCAACATCTGGTTTTTTCACTATTGCATAAAGTTTCATTTTAGTTTCTGACAGTGTGTATTTCAGATTTTCCAAATGCTTCACATTCTTTCTCCCTTGCAAGCAGCTTAAAAGGGCAGGTTGCCTATTTCTAGGGGGCGATGGTTCCATTGGGCCTTCATGATAGATGAAGAAAACAGAGAGCTTTTGTTTTATATAGTGAGAAATATATTGTGACCCAGGACTAAAAGAACCACAGGGATGAGCCTAGATTAAGACCCCCCAAATAAATCATTTTTCAAGATTTTGCTTTCATTTTTCTGAATAGCTAAGTATCTGAAAGAATTCAATGAGTTTGCAGTGAGTATGCTTGCATCCTCAGAATAAAATAAGGATCAAAGGGAAGGATTAACCAAAGCAGAGAAGCTATCCGCAATCCGATAACTTAAAGACATTTATTAGTTTTTAAAATATTTTTAAATGACAGATTGTTATAGGGGTTGGAACAGTTTTTAAATGTATTTAAGAAGCATGTAGACCAATGTCACCAATCCTATGAACCAACAGTTGATATCAACATTAATTTTCTGTACAAGATCTCATTTGGATTGAATTCAGTATGCTTTCAACATACATATATGTGTGTGTGTGTGTGTGCACAATTGCATATGTTCATATAAGTACAGATTGAGCATCACTAATCTGAAAATCTGAAATCTCCAAAATGCTCCAAAATACAAAAACTGTGGAGCACCAACCTCACGACACAATTGGAAAATTCCACACCTAACTTCATGTAATACATCACAGTCAAAACACAGGTGCACTAAAAATATTGTATAAAATTACTTCAGGCCATATGTATAGGGTACATATGAATCATAAATGAATTTTTGTTTAGATTTAGGTCTCTTCCAAAGATATCTCATTATGTATATGCAACTATTACTACACCCCCAAAAAAATCTGAAATCTGAAACACTTATGGTCCCAAGCATTTCTGATAAGGGATACTAACAAATAGTATATGATTGGGGCTGGGGTTGTGGCTCAGCGGTAGAGCACTTGCCTAGCACATGTGAGGCCCTGGGTTCAATCCTCAGCACCACGTATAAATAAATAAAACAAAGATATTGTGTCTAACTACAACTAAAAAATAAACATTTAAAAAACATAGTATATGATTACCTATATTCATTATGTAACTGCTAGGTGTTATGCTGACACCTATTTCCATAAATATCTCATTTAACCCTAATAGCCAACCTAGAAATACCAATCCTTATTCTCATGTTAGGGGCAAGGAAACAGATTTGTACACATTATATGACTCATAAGTTACAGATGGCAGAACTAGGTTCAAACTAGTTGAAGTCTCCTGAGGCCAAGACATGATCTTTCTTCTTTTATTAATTAGTAGCTATGAAAAATAAAAGGATTCAGACTAAGCCACTATGTACCTACAGAGTAGCATGTAGGTCTCAGGAAGAAGCAGTTTCATTTTACAGGACCCTGGTCAGGAATTCAGTAATCACACTTGCTGGGCTGTCCAATATCAAAGCCACTAGCCACAGGTGGCTATATAAATTTAATTAGAATTCGGTGAAATTAAAAATTCAGGTCCTCTGTCACCACCAGCTGTATTCAAACACACCATCGCCACCTGTGGCCAGTGGTTCCATATTGGGTGGCACAAACAGAACATTTCCACTATCACAGAAAGTTCTATTGGACAGCACTGCCAGCCAGAGGCTGGTCCAGTCCACAGGAGCTTTTCCTTCTGGGATGAGCTGTAAGGGCTCTTGCTGAGCGATGGATATTTGGCGAGACATGACGGCTCTGTGCTCCGGGTGGGTGCCACATGTCTGTTAGCGTCCTTCACGCATGTTCACTTTTTCTTCTAAGGAGGAAGTTGGTCGGATATGGAAGATGGAGCTGCTCAAAGAATCAGATGGGCTGGGAATTCAGGTTAGTGGAGGCCGAGGATCAAAGCGCTCACCTCACGCTATCGTTGTCACTCAAGTGAAGGAAGGAGGTGCCGCTCACAGGTGACTAGATAACTCTCCCCTGTCTCTCTGTCTCCTGTCCTCCCCTCCCCTTTCCTGGGTGCTTGTCCTCTTCCGGTTGGTCAAAGTCCTAATAATTATAGTTTATAAAGATCCTTTGGGTGCGTGGGAGGAAATCAGGCAAGAACAGTGCTAATCACACCTCTCTGAGCACAGGAAGTGGCTAATTGGTGAGGAGAGTGCAGGATTTTCCAAACCACGGAGTCAAGGTTGGGTTTCTTTCTACACCAGACGTAGTTTCAAGCAGATGTTATTGATCCTACTTCTTGGAGGCTGGTACTATGGAATATGTGGTTACTTATCAGGAATATGCTGGTAAGCAGAACACCACATCCCTGACGTCTTAACTCCCTGAGACTGTGACTGAGACTCAGGAAAGCGATTCCTTTCCACTGTGACCACAGTTCATGCACTAGGGCTTCCCTTGTCAGGTCAATCAGGATTTCACACACACTTAATGCACATGTGTCTGTTGGGCAGATGTGGAAGGGAAAGAAATAAATGTGAATTCCTTTCCATGTGACCTGAAAACAGTTCATGATTAAAAGCTTATTTTTTAATCTGAACAATCATCGGATATAAGAAGAAGCATTGGCTAGAGCATGTGCAAAAAAAGGAGATCAATTTGAGTGTGAGGGATGCAGCTCAACCAAAATATCAGGCATGTTCTTTGCCCTGCTAATTGCTTCCATTCATGTAATGGCGGGGTGGGTGCAGGTGCTACCTTCCCACATGTGCACAGTAAGTATATAAAGAGAAAGTCACTGATGAGGGAGGAGATTGACTTTTATCTAGTCTGGAATTGTTCAGTCCAGGTACCCTGATTCTAAGGGGGATATGACCAGAGCAGGATCAGCCTGCCCAAGAATGAGAGGGAACTCAAGTATGTCTCATGAGATGTAGTTGAAGGAGCTAGAGGCATTTAGTCTGAGAATGCAAAATTAAGAAGAGGACCAGGAAACAGCAGCAAAACGTTTCCTGCTTCTCAATCCTCTTAGAGAGGAAGAAGCTAATAACTAAAGTAGAGAAAGGTTAGCTACAACTGTCAGTTATCTGGGTGACAGGAATTATTAAAAGATTAAAACCTGAGATGGTTTTAAACCAAGTGAGCATTACCAGACTTCCCATGACACATGCTTTAATGAACTCCCACCAGGTAGCCATTTTCCCACAAATCCTAAGCTTAGGTTCTAGTCTATCTTTGGCAAGTTGGCAATTAGGAAATTCCTGTGCCCAGAGATAAGCTTTGCATGGAACTGTGTTTTGTCTATTTCCCACCGGAATCCCTTCTAATGGCTCTCATCATTTTCCGTTCATTCTCAGCATGGAGTTATATGTCTAGCTTTGCTCCGGGGTGTTGACTCCCAAGTGGAACATTCTGGCTAATAACAGGAGAAGAGAGAAATGAAATTAGAGTGAAATAGGAAAGGGGCTGGGCTGAGGCTGGTCTTGTGGGTATTATAGATAAGCAAGACCAGGGACACTGGCCAGAGCCCTTGGATTTTTTTATACCAGAATCCCTCTCCTCGGGATTACCTACGGAGTCCACCCACACTCCTAGTCTTGAGATTCTAGGGGTTTTCTTCCTCCATGATTTTTCTATTCCCTTCTTCTGCCTTTTCAAGCAACCAGAGGTGCCCTTAGCATTTCTGTGCTTCAGGGATATTTTTCCCCCCTGGGGTGCTGGGGATTGAACTCAGGGCCTTGTACATGCAAGGCAGGCACTCTACCAACTGAGGTATATCCTCAGCCCATGCTTCGGGGATTTTTGAAGGACAGCAAATAAGGCTGTCAGATGTCTGTGCTGCCTTCTGTCTTCTGTTAAAGCCTGAATTTATAAAAATAAAAAGATTATGATTATGTCCTAAAGAAAGGTGACAGAGAGAAACAGCTGAAGACAAGAGGTAAGGATGAAAGGAGAGAAGTTGGTTGAAAGAAAGCAAGAGAGAGAGAGAGACAGACTAGACTAGAGAGAACAGAGTTGGCTGGATCTGCCCACAGCAGCCCCTGGGTGCCCCTTTGAAGGATACTGTAAACCCTAGGTGAAGGTTTGTTCACCTTATCAGATTTGAAGCCATCTGTGGCTCCTTTGGGATTTCAGGATACCAGACCATTGGAGGCCCAGTTGGAACCCATGGAAGAGGCCTGCCCAGTGTTCTGGCATAGTGTGCCACGGAGAGCCCTGAGTCCCAAGGAGACAATTTCCAGGGACAGGAGAGGTTCCTTCCATCCCACCAGGAAGAAAGCTCTGGATCACCCATAGTTTAATTTAAAGGAAATCAAGAAACAGAAAATGTTTGTACACCCATGTTTACAGGCCAGGTCTGCTACCTACCATAGCAAATTAAAGTTTATTATTTTGATTTACCCTTCTCCTTAGGAAGCTTGGTTGTAAGGATCCAATGATTAAAAACGAAAGTGCAGAAAGATTTCCCCCCCAAGGTCCTGTAACCTTGTTGGGGGTGGGGGAGGGCAGAGACCATAGAGTGTGGTGGTCACAGGTTCCCCAGAGGAAACCTGGTAAGGGTCCTGTCATCTGGGAAGAGAAGGGGCTGTGGGTCAGGGAAGGCTGTGATGGGCTTAGGATACCCTTGCTGGCCCTGGACTGAGCTCAGTGACTAGGTTGTGGGGACAAGAGGACAGGTTTAGAAAGAGGATGACCTGCCTTCCCCAAAACCCTGGGGTCTGGGTTTCTCTGTCCCCCTCCCCACCTAGTTGGGTGCTTCATGGACACTGATGTCAATAATGGGGGAAAGCTGAAATTCTAGAAATTTTCCCTCCTCTAGTGGGAATCTGGACTCAAAATATAAGGCTGTTCCATCCCAGACTGTCTTTGGTTGTCACCGCTTCCTCTGTAGCCCGACTTTAACTGTCCCTTCTCATGACCTCCTTCACTCCTGGAGAATGACCCTTCTCAGGCCCAGGACATCTTGATGAGGGATTTTTTTTTTCATCTCCATTTCCTCAGGGATGGCAGACTGTCCTTGGGAGATGAGCTGCTGGTAATCAATGGTCACTTACTGGTCGGGCTCTCCCATGAGGAAGCTGTGGCCATTCTTCGTTCAGCCACCGGAATGGTGCAGCTGGTCGTGGCCAGCAAGGTAGGTAGTTTTGTTCAGTTTTTGAAAAAACTTCGAATGGTGGTGGTGGGTTTGGCGTCGAGCCCTCCCCCTGCCACACCCGGGTGCGGATGTGCCTGCACACGTTGACCCTGGGCCCTGACCCGCAGGGCAAGCCAACGTGGAGGCCCTCCTCAGCTGAAGTACATTCCATTCGTTTTGCTTTTCTTTGAGAGTCTTTAAAGATACATGTTGCAGGGTGAAAAGATAATAATAGAACTAAGGAAAAGGTAAGAACGGTAAGGTGGAAGGAAGGACGGTGTGGAGGGAGAAGCAGTTCTCCCAGGAGAAACTAGAAAGGGGATATGGAAACCTGGACGGCAGGGAAGAGGGAGGTGGGGGATTGTATCTTCAAGTTCAGAAGGAAAAGAAGACCCGGGGTCCTCCATGGGCAGGCCAGGGGCCTGCTCCTTAAGGCCTCGCTGGGGGAAGCCTTGGGGGTCTTTTGCTCCCTCCACCCTGTGCCTTTCCTTCCTCCCAGTTCTACAGATGAAGAGTGAGGCCGAGCCTCCATTGGCTGGCTTCCATGTTGCAGGGGCCGGGATGCCCTGAGCATCTGGCCATCAGCAGGCCCCCAGCATCTGCGCCACTCCCCCAGCCCTGGTCACCAGTCTTTAAGTGCTAGAGAAAGAGTGCAGGCTCCACAACTCTGATGAGAAAGGGAGGCACTGACCTCTCTCCTTCCTGTCACCTGATTGTGCTGTTGGTGAGACTCGGAAAGAGTTCGTGTGAATGAGCAATTAGTGAACAGAGCCTGGGGACTTCCTTCCACTTCTGGCAGGGAGACTGGGTGTGAGGCCTTGTGCACCTTCTCACACTACGCTGTTGCTTGTCAGGGTGATTCTTTTCCTATCATCCCTGCTGTTTTTTAACCTTGCATCTGAGGTTTATATATATATATATTCCCATTTAGATTCCAAGATTGGTTGCTGATTAGAGGAATACAATTGGTGCCTCTTATCCATAAGTTCTGCATCTGCAGGAAGGACTAGTAACCTAAGGATTATTTGAAGTACGTGGGAGGATGTGTAGGTTATATGCTATACACTATTTTATAAAGGGACTTGAGCATCCTTGGATTTTGGTATGGGGGAGCGTGTCCCAGAACCGATCCCCCAGAGGTACTGAAAGTCAACTGTATTTAACCAGTAGATTAGAAGAATACTTGGAGCTATCTGAAAAAAAAAAAATCTGCTTTTATTCCTTTTCACTTTTTACCCCAGATCCTTGACTGGACTTTCAGGCTTCCAATATGCAGAGCCTTGGTGAAGGCTCAGTGGGAAATGCAGACATCTGAGCCCCTGGAGGCAGGAGCTGAGCCCATTCTAGGTCCTTTCCTCCCCTTCCAGAAGTTCCATGGGGTCCTCCAGGGTATCCTAAGTCCCTGGAGCTCCACACAAATGCCTGCCTGAGGGCTGTCTATATCCCTCACTGGGGACAAGGAAGGACAGCGGTCCTCAGGATGTCCCCTGTCAGCCTGCCGAAGGCCCCTGGAGGGAAATGCTGCCCCAGAGAAGGAGAAACCATTTCCTCATTTTGCCAGACCTACCAGAGCCGGAAAGCACAGCTCCCCTCCCCACAGCTGCAGCTCGAGAACCTGGGGTCCTGCCTGAGCTCTGTACCATGTGTCACCAAGCCTTCATCTCTGTGCTGCCTGATTTTTTTCAGCTAGTTTGGAAAATAAGGAAGGAGGGACATCTTTTCTACATCAAGCTGTTATCCACAAACAAAAAAATATACACTATTAAAACAAAAAGGGCCCCTCACACACAGAGCTAATAATGAAGGGGGATCCGCTGGGCTCTGAAATCTAGTTCCCAGGGGATGCCTGGTCTCTGATCTCACGCACCACCTTAAAGGAAGAGAGGACACTGCCAGGGCTTCTCACCTATTATCTATTATCTCCTTGGATTCTTAAGAGTACAAATCCCATGATACAGGTATGGGTTCTTTTTATTCAAAGGATGGAATTGAAACGCCAGTTAACTTGCGTGTGGTCATGCGGCAGTAGATAGCAAACGCAGGGGTTATGCCGAGTCCTCCAGACTTCAAAGTTCATGCTGCTTCTCATACTCCATGCTGCCCTTCAAGCAAATAAAATATAAAGGACCCCAGACCCAATGGTATTAGGAAAAAACGTAATGTGTTCCTGCCAGAGGCATTGACTTTTAGGGACCCTTGCTGGGTTCTTGTAGGGCTGAGCAACGTGCGGACGACAAGAATGGGTGTCCATCCCGGCTCTTGAGCATCCAGCCCAGTTCCCAAAGGCGTGGTTGGGCCCCTTTTGCAATTAGACAATGAACTGTGGAGCCGCCACTGCTGCTGGTGTCTAACCTCAGCCTCCACCAGCCAAGGTGTTCATCCATTAGGGGGAAAAGAAGTGTCACTTTAGACTCCTCTGGGCACCTGTTCCTCTCTTGTATCTAACAAGGGGAGATAATCCACAGACTTTTGTTGTTGTCTTTATATTTGAATGAAGGAAGCTTCTAACTTGCTGAATAAAGAATAATAAAAATGTAAAATGTCTTGCTGGACATGATGGCACACACCTATAATCCCAGCTACTCAGGACGCTGAGGCAGGAGGATGGCAACTTTAGAACCAGCCGGGGCAACTTAGAACCTGCCTCAAAAAATAAAAAGAGCCAGGATGGAGGTCAGTGGTAGAGCGCCCCTGGGTTTGATCCCTAGTACCAAATACACACACACATACACACACACACACACACACACACACACACACACACACAGTAGATTCTTGTTATTCTAGATAACAGTCACCTTGTCACAAAATTTTAAGGCATTGTTTGGGAAATATAGCAGTTACAGCAGAGAGGCTGTCTCATGTTTCTGCACAAATAGGTTGTATGTTTATAGTAGGAGCTTATAAAGTCTTTGTTGAAGGAACTCAGAATTTCCAAGTTAGTTTTGCTATTTCTGGAAGCATCACATAGCAATACAGAACTCTCTCTCTCACTCTTTTTATTTTTAGTCCTGATTTTTATTACCAAGTAGTAGATTTTTATTATTTCTAATGTAGAAAACCCAGAAAAAAAATAAAGAGAAGAAAAAGATGAAATTTTGATAATGTCACCAATGATATAATCCACTAAGTGGTGTGTCCTTCCAGCTGGGCACATTTCTTTTAAATGGAGTCAAACACAAGGAGACAGGGTTCACACTGGGGGCAGTCCCACCTAGAATTAAGTGCCAGCACAGCCCTTGAAAAGCCATGCTTCATGGGCACATCCTTGCAACTCCAAGTCTCAGTTTTTTCTTCTGTACAGTAAGAATCAGTGACCACGTCACAAGGATGTCATGGAGACTGTAGGAGATGGAGAGGGCCCTAAGCAGTGGAGGAGCGTTTGGCTTTGTGACTTTATTACCTCTAATTCATTATTACATGCCTCATTAATATCATGCTCATTACTGTCATTTTAATCGGCTCGTTCAAGGAGCAGGGTGCTGTAAGATCCTGCCTTTCCACCCAGGAGGTGATTTCTACAGCCCCCCGTTTTCATGGCTATGGAGTGCTCCTTCCTGTGGCTACCGTGCCATTTACTCACCGATTGGCACCTTTTTTTATTCTTCTGTTAATAGTCCAGCAAAGTTGACATCCCAGAAATTAACTCACCTTTTATTGAGTAACTTTTTCATTTCCGTGGTTAAGAACTAACAACATAATATTCACAAATTGCAAATCTACGATGAAAATTCTTTAGGTTCCTTAAAGGTGGAAGCAGCATCAAACGAGTGACAAATGCCACTGTCATTAGGTGTTCAAGCACTATGGTTTGTAAAGTCCAGTGTTGAATGTGGGTGTTTTTTGTTTTTTGTTTTTCTTTGTCTTCTATTCTGTCAACCTCAAGGCATATGATGATGAAAACTTTCACTTGTTTCCTTCCCTGAAGAAGTGGCTGGTGTGGGAGGGAGGGGAGAGAGCACAGTTTCTCACTGGCCTCTGAGCAGCTCTGCCACTGCACCCCTCCCTCCCTGGACCCCAGCCCCCCATTTGTGGCATTTCCCAGGAGGGTGCCAGACTGCCACGTGTCCTCATTTGCACTCATGAGCACTTAACGATCTCACCTGCATCCCACAGCCTGCTTTGGCCTTCTCTGCACAGAGGAGCAGAGGGCTGGGCTGATGAAGCCTCTTGGAGTCTGATCTTAATGGAGTCTGATTCTATGAATTGTTGTTGACCTTTAAAGGTTGTTCAAGGGCTGCTTTCATTGAAAAGACATTCTCGTGTCTCCAAGTTGGCATTTTGATTCAATAAACAATCTAATCTTTTTCTAACGGGCATATGCCGCTGAGATGGTAGCAGGGCAGGGAGGAGGGGGTCATAGATACTTGAGCTCTGTGCTAGGTCTGGGGACGTGGATATGGGTAGAGATGGTGTGAGGTGGGAGGAACACTCATACAGGCAGGGCAAACAGACAAGTGAAGTTAGACATACACGCAGGGGGAAAAATAAATAATCAAGGCTATTAGAGAAGACGCCTCCAGGATGATCCCAAAGGAGGAAGCTCAGGCTTTGCCCAAGCAGCGGTGGTCAGCAGAACTAGTTGGTGCCAGGGGATAATTCCTGGACCTTTCCTTGCATCCCCACAGGAAAGCTCCGCAGAGGACCTCCTCAGGTTGACCTCTAAGAGTCTGCCTGACTTGACCAGCTCGATAGAGGATGTGTCCTCATGGACCGACAATGAAGACCAGGAGCCAGACGGGGAAGAGGAGGAAGGGACCAGCTCATCCGCCATCCAAAGAGCAGTAAGTGTGACTCTGGTTTCTCCCAGGCTGCTCTTTTGGAATGGTTTCCCTGAAGACATGGGTGTCAGGATCAGAGGAGAAATACTTCAGAGACTGGAATAGACACCAGGAAGGGAAAGGATCTCAGTGCACTCTTTTTGATATTTTTCTCAGAATCTTCCGGAAACATCTGTGAGGGGAAGGCGTTTCATTTCAGAAAAAAAAAAAAAAATGAAACTCCAAACAAAATGCATCTGGCTATTGAGTTCAGTGCATAGATCAGGTCTAGGATGCTTTGTGATATAAACAAGGATTTTGTTGCTGCTGCTTCTCGATAGTGTTTGAAAACAAGTGTTCGTGAATCTAAACTTAGACGGCAAGATTTCTGGTTCTGAGTGGAATGTTAGCACAAAGATCACTCAGACAGATTTGTGTAGAAGACAGCTTACCATTTTAACTAAGCCAGGATACCCCGCACAGCTTGGGGCTCTTCCTCACATGGCTGGTGTCACTTCACACCCTCACGTTCTGCACATGTCACCTGGTGTACATGAAGCTGTCAGAACAGCTTCTGGCTCCATGGTCTCCTCTTTGTATCCCAGATCTAAAAAATGTGTCATTTTGTGTGTGTGTGTGTGTGTGTGTGTGTAAACTCTTATTAGTCCTTTTTCTCATCCAACTAACCTTGGGGAAGGCACCCTCTTCTGCCATTTGGAACCTGTTATTCCTTCCCACCAGCTTTGAACCTAGGTAGCATAGATAGTGTTGGAAAATCAGCTTTGTTGATCATAAGGCCATCAAAGGCAAAAAAAAAAAAAAAAAATGTATCTCATCTTATTTGCCATAACATGCCATATTACTTTAAGAAGAAAAAGATTTTCCTCTTTACTTTTGGTCCCTGGAGATCAGGGCCACTGTGTACGGTTTTACAGGTTGTAGGCTGCACAAAGGTATCACATCTCAGGAATCACGATTACATCATAAAATTTAGAAGCTTTTATAACATGTGTTCTAAATGATTGATTTCATGATTGATTTCAAACATTTTTCCAGCTGCTTTTCCCTCAAAGGAGGGAGCTTTCTCAGAAGACCAACCTGCAATAGCAGGCACACCTGAACTTAACAAGTGGGGCCGAGGTTGACAGTTTGAAACAACTGTGTGCTGATTCCTATCTTTTTGCGTTATGACCATTCAGTGGCTTTCCTTTGACTTTTGGTAATAGTAGAGACTCAACTAATTTTCATGACCTATCATGCCCTCCATGATTGACCCCTGACTGCTTCTCAGACCTCCCTGTAGACCAAACTGACCCTCAGTTCTATGCAACCACCACAATGCCCATTCCTGAGCCCCTCATGGTGATTACACACTTTCTTGCCACAGGACCTTTGCAAATGTTGCTCTGTCTCTATGGAATCCTCTTTGCATAACTGATTCATGTTTATCTTTTGGGTCCCATAATGTTACTTCCTCAGAGAAACTTCCCGAATATCCTTTTCCAATCCCTCAGCTCTAGCACCACAACCAAGCATGTGCCCTCCTGTGAGCTACTTATCACAGATCTGTTTGATGCCTGGGGGCAGGTCAGACTAAGGTGTGTTTCTCCTACCCCGTGGTGAGCTCCAGGAGGTGAGAAAGCATGATGACTGTTTGGTGGATCTGTAAGACTGAGGCAGTGATCTGGTTGTTGAGTTATATGAAACTAAATTTAACAGCAAGGCTACTGCAGCAAGCCTGAACACAGCCAGCAGCTTGCGGCCCAGCAGCCCAGGTAGCAGATAGGGGGCGAGGGTGCAGGTTTAAAATTTAAAAGCAGAGAGGAGGGGAGGGGAGGGGAGAGGAGGGGAGGGGGGATGGTGGAGGATGGGAAAGGCAGCAGAGCACAACAGACACTAGTATGGCAATATGTAAATCAATGGATGTGTAACTGATGTGATTCTGCAATCTGTGTATGGGGTGAAGGTGGGAGTTCATAACCCACTTGAATCAAAGTGTGGAATATGATATGTCAAGAAATTTGTAATGTTTTGAACAACCAACAATAAAAAATTAAAAAAAAAAAAGCAGAGCGGACATTCACTGAATACCTGCCATTTTCTCAGCTCTGTGCTAAGCCCAGAAAATAATGAAAAATGACAACAAAATCCAACTAGATTTACCTACCATCAATTTTATGGCTATTCCCCTAGCCCACAGCTGACCACAGCATGGCAGCCTCAAAGGGCCTCAGTTTCCTGTGCATGTCCCCATCCCGTTGACCTCAGGGATGCTCCAGGAATAAGCCTTGAGCACGTCTAAGCATTGTGTCTTCTCCCCACCACCTACTCCTCTACTGTCTACCCATCCATCAAGGCCAAGGTCATCCTGAGCTCTTCCTCCCTGCGACCTCCAGCCCCAGGGCTCTGGGCTCTGGGCTAACTCAGCAGTTACCCTCTGCTCCTTGTGGTACAAGAAGGAGCAAGGGCTGTGTCACCATACAGCTAGCAACTCCAGCACTTCACCTCTCTAGCCAGACACCCTTCGCTGCTGGCTCTGCCAGCCCTGCACTAGCCCAGGGAGTCCCCTTGCTCTCTCCCTCCCTGTGCTCCCAGTCTGGACAGTTCACCCTGGCTGAGCAGGAGCCATTGGCTGAGCGGCCATGCCTGGGGGGGAGGTCAGCTAGATTTCAATGGAAAGCTCAGTGAGCTCAGGGTCTTCTCCAGAGGGGAGAGGGGACCTTGGCTGCACGTCTGATAAAGCCCCCAGCCTTGGCGTAGCACAAAGGCTCTTTATGGGGAAGGTCACAGTCCCATAAATTTTTAAAACTTCATAAGTCATATTCTCTTGCAAAAAAACTCCAAGCAATTATTTAATTGTCTGGGAATTTTTTTATACCAAATACTGCTTTAATAAATAACACATTGACTATGTTAAATATATTACATGTTGTATATTATAATTTAAATTATAATTTATGCTTACAATTTTTATAGATTTCTTTTGGGAAAATTACACTAATGAACATGTAAAACAATGTGATTAATAGGTAAACTATTTTATTGTTGTTGTTGTTGTTTAAATATATTATTGGTGATCTTCGGAACTGGCCACTTCTAGGAGTATAAGTATCACTATAGCTCAGTTGGTAGAGTGCTTGCCTTGCATGCACAAGGCCCTGGGTTTGATCCCCAGTACCACAGAAAATAATAATAAGAAGAATAATAAGTATCATCTCTCTAGAGAAAGCCTTTGACCAAGAAATTCTGCTAGAGGAGAATTACATCAAAAATATGCACAGATATATACAGGCAAAGATATATATACATAGATATCTACATAGAGATAATAAATTTTCACAAATTTATTATGATTTAAGTTATTACATATAATTTAAATGAATTTCTCTGAAAAAAATCACAAAAACAATATACAATCCTATTTAAAGATAGTCATCTAGAAACATTTTGCTATGCCTTTCTAACTGAATTATTATAGCCCCAAAGACCATCTATTTTTAATTAAACTTAGAAAACCATGCTTACAAAACATGCTGTGATTTTAGTGATACAATCCTGAGCATGTCCCTGTATTAAAGCCTCTTCTGAAATCGTGGTTTATAATGGCTAATATTCCCTAACATGGAAGTGCCAAAATTTGTGTCTCCAATTTACATCACTCACATGTATATTCAGTTTTTTTTCAAAATGATAAAGATTCTGTATATCTTTGCTCATATATGCCAATGCATATTTTTAATGTTTTTTTTTTTCCCTTAAATACCTTGTAGCAGAATTGCTTGATCCAAAGTTTTCTCCAGAGAGGTTATACTAACATTCATAGCAGTGGCCACTTCTGTGATCACCAATAACATTGTGTTTAATTTAATTGTTTGTCAATTAATCACATTGTTTTACATGTTTATTATTTTATGTGCTTCTCCAGAGGAATTTCTGTGCATGCTGTCATACACATCTTATCTGGGATACAGTACTTTGTTTGCAAAGAGGCGAGAAACAATGAAACAATCTTTTGTGTGTGTGTGGTGCTCGAGATTGAACCCAGGGCCTTGTGCATGCAAGGCAAAGCACTCTACCAACTGAGTTATGTCCCCAGCCCAAGAAACAATCCTACTTCAACAGTCTCCCTTCTCTGGGCCCCTTTTCCACTCTACCCCTCACGAAACATTCACGGAGAAGGGTCCCAGTTTGTCCCCTGGACCTGGGCACCAACCCTGTCTTAGCCACTCTGGCTTCACACCAGGAGAACCAGTCCTGAGGCAGAACTGTGGGCAGCCAGCCTCCCTGCTCCCCTCCCAGGGTCTGCCCTGATGCGCCTTAGACAAGGACTGAGCTAGTGAAACAAAAAATTCTTTTAGTTATGGGTTCACAATCCAAGACTCTTGTTTTGTAATTTTTAAAAACTAAAGAACCACTGAAATGAAAGAAATCTGGTACCATTTTAATCAATAAGTCACAAAGGCTCTGATTCCACAGATGATGATGGCTAAACCTGCTGCCCAGGTCCACTCGGACACTGACTGCTTTTGCACCTGTCCGTTGTGGTGTGCTCCAAGTGCTTCCGTTGAGCAAATGTGAGATAAAGGCTAGGGATCTGTCATGAGTGTGCTTTGATTTACTCTCCATTGCTACAATAAACAGCAATGAGATTTTTCCTTTCAAAAAACTTAGTATAAAACCATATGTTGAATATCAAGTTTGAAGAGTTTAAACTGGATCAAAAGAAACAGGAAAGGATGGTGGGAAAGACAAGCATTTGCACAATTGCTGTCCTGAATGGGGCTGGCTTCAGTGATAGGGCTCACTCTCCATCACCTGCTCCCAGTGTCACCACCAGTGCATGCATGATTACAGTCTGTCAGTTTTGGTCTCAGAAGTCCCTAAGTCTAGACCCCTCCTCCACTCCACCTGAGATCCTTGAGCCCCAGATGGGTCTGTCTTCCTGGAATCTCTCATCTCCATCTCATCTTCTGCTCAGCCATAGTGTTTTAAATGAGAGTCTAGTTCTGTCACTTAAGCAAGTA